TTTTGTATTTTTAGTAGAGACGGGGTTTCACCATGTTGACCAGGATGGTCTCGATCTCTTGACCTCATGATCCACCCGCCTCGGCCTCCCAAAGTGCTGGGATTACAAGCGTGAGCCACCGCGCCCGGCCCCATCTTTAAAATTTAACTAGACCTGAAGATTGGTACTTGAACCTGTGTTGGGAAAGCTGTGCAGAGGTGAAACTCCCTTACCCAAGGCCTCTACCTGTTGCTCCTCCACAGCCCCACAGGCCCTTAGACCGCACCCATCACAGGATAGTTACCAATTATTCCTTAGTCTAAGCTGAAAGGATTGCAGCAACCTCTGACAGGACGCGTTCAGTTCCTTTTTCGTGACACCAGGTTAAGCATAAGGAGAAAGTCATGTGGGTGAAAAGATTCAACAGTTCAGAAGAGGAACGATTTGAGTGGTCAAAGCAAACGAAAACCTTTGTCATCAGATTTGAGAGAAATAGGAAAAAGTGTTAAAAATTATCTGTTTCACATTGAAATGTAAGAGGTCATTGCATGGTTTTTTTTTAAGATGGAAAAATAATGGAAAACAAGAAAACTTTCTTAGGACAAATGGCACTGCCAATTTAATGCAGCAGTGTCAGTGAACTGCAGATTAGATATGCCAAAAGTTAAATCAGTTCAAGAAAATTTACCAGAACTCAGAGGGAAAAGGTAACAGATAAAAACTGAGACACAAAGATAGGAGACATGGAGAATAGGTTCAAAAAATTAATAATTAGGGGCTGGGCGCAGTGACTCACGCCTGTAATCCCAGCACTTTGGGAGGCCAAGGCGGGCAGATCATGAGGTCAGGAGATCGAGACCATCCTGGCTAACACTGTGAAACCCCACCCCTACTAAAAAAAAATTTAAAAATTAGCCGGGCGTGGTGTCACGCACCTGTGGTCCCAGCTACTCGGGAGGCCTAGGCAGAAGAATTGCTTGTACCCAGGAGGTGGAGGTCGCAGTGGGCTGAGATTGCACCACTGCACTCCAGCCTGGGTGACAGAGTGAGACTTCATCTCAAAAAAAAAAATAAATAATTAAATATGAGTTCCAGAATATCATATTTGGAACTCATATCTGGAATATCAGTTCCAGCTGACTGCAGAGAAGCAATAATCAAGTAGTAGAGGAAAATCTACTAAGTTGGTGGAAATTTTTGAATTCTCAGATTTAAAGGATTCATTAAATACCAGGTAAAAAGAAACGAAAAGAAAGACAACCATATTTAGGCCTGTATCACAAATAAAAGCTGCTGAGTTGTTTGGTTTTGGGTTTTTTTT